AATATAAGATAATAAAGTTCAACTAATGCTAATGAAACTGCAGACTTTTATGTGTTATTATTTTTAAAAAAATCTGCATAAACTTTTAATAAATATCAGTAATATTTCTGTTATTAATCATTATTCTCTGTTCATCATTCAGGTTTATCCAAGGCCAAAGATCCATAGTTGTCCATTTAAGGGGCAGGTGTCAAAAAAAATTAACCATTAAGTGTTTGTTTACAATATGTTCAGCCATTAAACAATTGCACTTAGTAAATACTTTTCAGTAAGTTATAGGTCTTGTACAATTCTGGTTCAAATAAAGAACTTTATGTTTACTAGATTGTTAACTAATTATTTTAAAGTTAATATTGCCTTAATGAACAATGATTGAAAACATAACCTGTAAAACTCTGACATTAAATGCGACGTGGTTGAAAATTTGGGTGCACCTAACTTTTGTGCTGGTGCACCTAAGAAAAAATGTTAGGCGCACCGGTGCAACCAGTGCAAAAAGTTAGTCTAGAGCCCTGAGAACTAAACACTCAGATTAGAAGTTAATGTTCGGGTCGTACCGGTCAGCCTCCAGGCTCAGTTTCTGCACCCGCTCTCCCAGCAGTTTCTCACTGCACTGCAGCTGGTAAACCCCAATATCCACATCGCTGAGSGGGGACACACGGTCCTGTCCAGGCTGGCAAAACTTAACAATCTGGGGTGAAAAAAACAAACAAAAAACAAACGACACTCCGTACACGAGAACCCTCATACAATGATAACCGAGCGTTTGACACCGAGCGAGTTGTGACTTACCTTCTCTCCTTCGTGTAAGGAAACAATGACCTGTTTGTCCTTCTGCAGCTGCAGGAGAGCCATGCAGAGGGTGCTCTCATCGGCACAGATGTTCGACGAGAGAGAACAGAGCTCTTGAAACGACACAACCGAGCAGCTTGAAAATTCACTGCTCTGGTAAACCCTGAGTAATTCTGCTGCTTTGTCCTGCAAAAAAATAAAAATAAAATAAATAACACTGACAAAATTTAAATTTCTTCATGTGCACTCAAAGGCCAATCTGGTTTGCAGCAAGTAAAAGAAASAAGACAAGCACGGGAAGAGAAAATCAAATCTGTATTCTTAAACACTTTAAAGAAAAATTTATATCTTAAAAAAAAACAATGAATACAATTCAATTCAAAAATACTATATTGATCCCAGAGGGAAATTCGGTAAAAAAATAAAGAAAATAAAGAAACGAATAAAGAAAATTGAAGATTTCCTACCAACTACTTTCTCCCACTATTTAGAAACATCAAAGAGATAAATGTGTCTGCTAGAGGTTTCTGTATCTACTGGTTCTAAAAGGAGGGAGCCTTGGTCTGGATCCAGAGGTTAAAAATCCAAAATAAGTGTCAGGGAGGGTGGTTCTGAACAAACTCTGTTTTTCTATACATTTTGACAATTTTTTCTACCTGCTTTTCATGTTCTTGTTCTCATACCAACAAATATAGTAAAAAGTTAAAACAGACTCAACGTACGGTGTTTTTTTTTAAAAAGGCACTGCAAAAGTGTTGTCTATGTAAAAAAATGACAGCTTACAAAGACAGTGAATATGCTGTAGATCCTTCATTTGTACAACTCTGTTAAATCCCAGTCTGTTGACAATTATGGTTGTCCATTATTTATAACTATCTACCTGTCAAATTCAAACACACCTTACAGGTTACGCTAATCAATAATAAATGCATTAATGATTGATCCATGGTTGGTCTCATTGCGCAGAAAAAGACTCTGGCAATAATAAAATCAATCACTCCAAACGCAAAAGCTGTACATCAGGATGCATTACTGCAAAGAGCAAGAATTTAAAAAGCTAATTGTGTACCAATGAAAAACCGTTTACGTTGTGATGCTGATAAACACTGRGTTTGACAAACCTTCACCAGATCAAGAACAACAAAACACTCTTCCAGAGGAACCCGGCTGCTTCCCAGAAGAGTGGAGAAGGTCCACTTGAGTGGTTTCACCAGCAGCATGCCCACACTCCAGGACACCCACCCACAGTCCACAGTGGCAGCAAACTCGGACTCYCTCTGGATCTTCCCACATCTGCACAAAAGGTCCAACACCCACATTATAACCTGGCAGACAGACAGCAGTGCAGAGCTGACAAAACCACAGCTACCTGGCCATGGACTGGAGGACAGTTGACAAGCCCAGCGGGGACTTCTCTTTCCTCCGGAAGGTCTTGTTGAGGTCCTGCAAGTTGACCAAAACCGAGCCACGTTCCCTGCAGCTCTTCGTGATCAGAACTGTCCAGAAGTCCATCTTGCTGTCCCAGTCCGTGGTGTTGACATCTCGGTTYTCCTTGAACTCGGAGAACAGAAAGTTCATTCGCTCATCGTCATCCCACTCAGGCGGCAGAGTCATTTTGGCGGTGTCAGACATTTATAAACCCGTTACTGACAAGCCTGAAATTAAATGAATCAGTTTGTCCGAGCTAAGCGAACGGCTAACAGCTAGCTAGCTTAGAAACCAACACCTACTGCCTGCTCTCTAGAAGAATCGAACCTGYAATACGTCTCGTCAGACAGCAGACAAGGTCAGACACCGTTTGTTGGAGAAAAAATTTGAGCTGCAGCTTTTATGTCAGCTGTTACAGTACACCCCTTCGCCATGATGTTGTGAAATCATGCTAACACGAGCTAACGTTCACATGCTAATAACAAAGATAAGGTGCGCTTACAATTTACACCCTTACAGAAAAGCGGTGATATAGAATCTAATGCGTTACATAAATAACGAGTTTCCACCCACGCGTACACGCAGGTACACAAATCAAGCGCACCTAGAGTTGTGTTCWCGAACATCATATCGGCGCTATTTATGCGCTTACTTTTTAATGCGTTCATTTACCGCAATTCTGGAGGCAAAAAAAAAAAAAAAAAATCCAGTAAATCTCATAATTACGACTTGTGATTTATTTACAATTCTAATTCGATAGAATCCACATATCCACAATTTTTAAAGCAACAACCATTTCTGTTTGTGTATGTACAAAACATCATCGTGGGAATAACATTTATTCACATTTGAATTTATTGGTTGTTATGTGCACACATTATTCCCATAAAACAAATTTATTTTAATAATAAGCATAATCAGTAGGTAGGTGTTTTTACATTTTTATGACCTGAGGTTTTGTTTTGCTCAGCCAAACCTTTTTTCCATTTTAATTGCAAAACAAATAATTAGTCTCTCGGTTCTTTATCTGATACTGTTCAGTAATGAAGTACTGCAATGTAATCGTGTTGAACATAAATACACAGTGTCATGCAAAATGGTTTTCAGTTCAGCATAAAATTAGTAAAATCCCAGTAGTTTTCCTCTCACACTTASTGTATCTTATTCAGCACAATCCAACAAATAATTAGGTAAATGCACGTGCATGTTATTTTAACATTAGTTAAGTACAAAACAAACATAATAATCTTCAAAAACAGCACTGCCTTGGTCATAGTTTGGTTGCACAAACAGTGATTTACTGCAGCATTTACATGACACTTGTGTTAACTTTTATTTCATTCAGCTGTTAGAGAACGATGCATTAATAATGATTTCAACAATCATTTAACTAATTATTTTCACTTTAACGTTAGAGAAAACTTGTAATTAAATGGCTTGAACATTTTGCGATTTTGTTTGGCACATTGTATTTAACAGGTGGAAGAGGACTTGGAGAGGTGAAGGTTTGCACATGGAAAAAAGAGGAATGAAAGTCAGCTGTAGCACAACAGAGTCCATGTGTGTGAATGAGAGGCCGGTAAAGCAGCGAGGCTGCAAGGAGCAGAGGTCACAAAGGTGCAGGACTTCAAATACTTTGTGTCAACTGTCCAGGAAAACAGAGTGTGATGAAGGGATGAAAAGGAGAGTCCAGGCAGGGTGGAGAAATGTTTCAGGAGTGATTTGTATCAAAAGGGTGGCAGCAAAGGTCAAAGGAAAGCTTTAGACCAACTGTGTTGTAGTTTTGGAGACAGYGGCTTTGACAGAAGGATGTTAGCGATGCAGCTGCCAGGAAAAAGACAAAGATGAGACATTTGGATGCARTTAGAGGACATGGAGGTAGTTGGAGTGAGAGCAGAGTGAGATGGAAGACTCGCTGTGGGAACCCCTGAAGAGGGAACAGCAGAACTATGAAAACGTTTGGCACATTGCTTTTGTAATGAGAAAAMTCTTCTTGATGCTCTGACATGTTCATTTGGCACTGAGGTCCACCACCAKGTGCTGGTAGGCCTGAGTGTTTCCCTTAAAGCTGGCAGCCAGCAAAATGTCCTTATCATCGATGGACACCAGGTCGAACCCTCTCGGGGCTCTCATGTTGAGCTCCTGGAAGGGCTGAAAGCGCTGAGTGAGGTCGTCCCACAGGTACACTCTGGAGAAGGAGAAATCACTTCCAAGGATGAGGTACTGCCGTGCGCCCACCGAGAAGGGGTACACAGCCATCGAACCCCGAGAGGGGAGMGTCTGGATCTCCATGAACCGCTGCCCCTCCCATCGAAGGACCTTGGAGTCACCGATGAAGCGTGTGAGGCAGAGGTAAAGAACCTTCCTCACCCAGAAGTGCTTCACCATCTGCACGTCGGCCAGTTCTGTGATTTGGGAGTGGAAGGTGAACTGCTTCTGGCTTCGGTTCCACTGGTAAACCACSGGCGGCTGGGAGGCGCTGGAGAGGATGAGGTGAGGCTTTCCCCCAACATCCAAGAACTCTACGTGGGTGTCCCGATGCCAGGGATGGAGGGACTGATGGGAGTAGAAGCCGTTGCTGTTCCAACGATAAATGCTGGTGGAGCCTGCCTTGGAGCTGTCCGCCACAATGAAGTACCACTCTCCATCCAGCTGGAAGGTCTCCACAAAGTTGGGTTTCCTTACGCGACTKGTGTCAATATCCTGGATCTTTATAAAGCGCTGTGGGTCCTCTTCCCACCTGGGGTCACAGAAAGCCCATCAGTGTCATCTTACAAGCTGTTTTGATGGCTGTTTACAATGTGTTGAAACCTTACTTGTATATGTGGGATCCACCGAAAAGYTGAGCCACGACCATGTAAAGTGTGTTATTTATCACCACAGGTTTGCAGTAAACAGCAGAACGAGCTTCAGGAGGAAAGYACAGAGGCATTAGGTTTTTCTTTGGTTCTTAACATGTTAGTTTTATTTGCTCTAATTTCAGCATCAATAACTTACAGGTGATGTTATGAAACTTCTTGAAGCTCATCTCCACATGGTCCCAAATATACAGGGTGCAGAACCCTGAGTCCGGCTGAGCAAAGACCACAAACTGATCCTCACTGAACTCRTACGACTCCACTGACACGGAGTGGAAAGGAAAAGTCTCGTAAATTGCAAAATCTGCAGGAGGACAGAATGGACAGAGATTACTAACTGCACCACAACATCTTGCAGAAAACCCCAAGATTAAAATGGAGGTAAAACCTGCAGTGATGCAGTTGAAGTCTCGTGGGGCGAGATCAGGGACTCTGCGTCCCTGAAATTCAAAGGGACTGGCGCAGWAGATGGCAGGAACGGTGGTGTTGGTCTTCTCTATCCAGTCCACCAGCCACTTGATCTTACAGTCGCAGCGGAAAGAGTTTCCACGCAGGTCTCTGAGCRACAGACAGGGAAGGTGGATATAAAAACCCTATGCATGCCTGGTGTAACTGTAAAATGAGCTGTGCACAAAATATGCTCTCACAATCTAACATTTTGGGCACATTTTGGGGGAAAAAAACGGGCAAACATCAATTAAACGTGCATCAGAAAAAATGTCATTTGAACCCTTTACCATCTATTGCTCCAAATTGCCACCTGTATTTTTTTTATTAATATTTGAACTTTAAAGAGGCCATTAACTGTCCTTGGAGTAAATATTTTTTGCAATAAAACTTTTAATATCCAGCAGTTATTACATTAACAGGGGGTGTAGACTTTTTACGTCAATTATATAAGAAATTGTGCAAATCTCATTTTCAATGACCTAACACTGAAACCTGACTACAGGTCTGGTAAACTCTCAGGGAAACTGAAACTCTGATTTGTGCGACAGACCGTGGGGTCAGGATTTGACWCTTACAGGTCTGTGAGGATGTCCAGATGTTTGAAAAGGTCTCTGGGCAGCTGCTGCAGGTTGTTGTTTGAGAGAGATCTGCAGAGTTACAGTGATTCAGAAGAACATACGTCATGTTATTTTTTGGTTTTGTAAGWAAAAAATCTAAGTTGCTTCATTTGCCACTTGTGTTTGCCTTTAAAGAGGCAGAATATTACCCAAAGAGCAAAAGTACTCACAGATGAGTCAGGGACTTGAGCCCTCTGAAGGTGTACTTCGACAGAGTCTGGATGTCGTTATTCTCAATAAACCTGCAGAGAGAACAAATGACTTATATAACAGGCAACCTGTGAAATCCAGCCAGCTCTACAGAATGTCATCCATGCTGGAAAGACTTTGTGCTGTCAGAGTAATGCTCAATAAAAGCCAGGAACAAGCTGGTATTTTTAGCTACTTCAGGTGTAACAGGGTCGGACTAAAATGGAGGCATGAAAACAAATGGAAAACATTCTTCTTAAGGATTAAAGTTCACGTCTTAAAAATGAGTGCATCATTGTTTTGTCTGGTTGAAGCCCCACAGACTCTCTGGAGGTGGTTGGCTCTGCTAATTTGATTTTATTAGCATTCACAGCAGGCTGAGGCAGCGAGGCAGAGGTCTGCAGCCTGCAGCTCCCAACCATCAGCTAACTAAACCTCATCAGTTCACCGGATAGCATATTCAGCTGTATCACACTGCAGAGGCAAAGTGCCCACTGTCAGACAAGGATTTATTTTCTATTTTACTCTTGGCACTCTTTTCTTTACTGCAGAGCCTTACCGCCTTCCTCCTGTAGTCAGACCTTAGTTTAGATTCAGTCTATTAGCTTTGAAGTGCTGCTGAAGGACAATGTTAAGGTTGGTCTGTAAGCACATTTTTACAGTGCAGAAGAAAATACTAAAATACCACCAAACAGTATTTTAAATAGAAAAATAAAACAACAAACTGACTCATTAATAGCTATATTTATTAACCACGCAAGCCACATACTAAAATGTGTCTGGCCCAGTACTGGCCCACACAGAGCATTAAGATATCACGAAGAATGACGGCTGGTGGCCCACATGCAGTTCAGTACCACATTAACCAAACCACAACCGTGCCACCCTTACTAAAAAGCAGTATAATACAAGTGTCTTTTAAGTATATTAACTTTAAACTAAAATGAAGAGAGTATACTTTCAGCTCACTTTTATGTGCTTCATAGATGAGATATACTTAAAATTTGTGTTACCTGTACTTGGCTTGTACTAAAAATACACTAAAAGTGTATTTAGTAAATAAAAATACACTAAAAGTGTACTTAGTATATAAAAATACACTTGGGAAAACAGACTTCATTTTACTTAAGTTTACTTAATGATATGTTCTTGAGGTATACTTTATTTTTGGTGAGGGCAGCTGTGGGGTGCTATCATTGCCAGAGCTGGCCCACATCCGGTTGACAAACCACACATCATGCCAGCAGTGCCAGCTTGACACCAGATTTGGCCCACCTGCCTGCTATGTGGGAACAATCTGCTTATCATGCTACTTCTAAAGTGGTCACAAATATCACCTGCAAGATGGCCACCACAACAAGCTGACTTCAGTTATTCACAAAAAACATCATGCAGATCTGGCGAGGTCAGGCAAGAAACGGTGTGAGACGTCTGGAATGATCTTTTAAAGATCTAAAACAGATTAAATCATTTCTCATCTGAAGATAAGCTCAGTGGGAAAACTGAAATACAAAAGGCAGGTGAAAAGCACTCCTTCGAAAAATGCTAGGTCTTAAGTTAGCATTTGTCAGCACACTTACAGGTACTGCAGGTGAGAAAGACCAGCAAAAGCATCATCAGAAATCATAGTGAAAGTGTTGGAGTTCAGGAGCCTGTTGAAAAAAAAAACATACAAATAATCATAAGATTCCAACATCAGACATGAGAAACTCTAATATTTCAATGATTAAATAAGAGAAACATTTGCTCTCTTGACATAAAATCCTCATTTAGTCACTTTGAACAACACAATAAATTGGTCTGGACTTGACATGAACACACACTCATGACTGCATCTGAAGGGGAGACAGAGGAGTCTTTGTGAGGCAGAGCAGAGCTGAAGGGAGTCAGTCATAAGCAGTGACACTGATGCAGAGACACTTTGGCCTTTTTTACTGCTATGTCACCACTGTTTTCAATAACCATTCATTTGGAGTGGAGTCGCTGAAGTCTTCTCATTGTTGCCTAATAAAACACGCTGTCGCTCAGTGTGTGTGGAAACTGGACATTGGAAACTGGATTAACTGGAGGTTAATACAAAAATGGAATGGACCCTCTCGACTGTGCATGGACTCCAAACTTTAAACCTGTTGAGAGATGGTGATGACGGGGTGTTTGTCAGAGAACTCACAGGAACTGCAGCAGGTGCAGGTGGGAGAAAGCCCCCTCCGGGATGGTTGTAAAAGCTGCGTTCACCATCGTCCTGTTCGGACAGAAACAACCGAGGTCAGAGACGTGTCCTCTCGATGACGAGATGGAAAAACACCAAACATTTGAACAGAGTGCGTGTTTTGTTATGATTCATGTTGCTGTGCCTGACGCTTGGATGGTATCATTTCAGGACATGTCTTCACATCATCGTTTTGACCAGGACTCAACTTCTGTCTCCACTTCTATCCTTCTGCTTTAAAATGAGGACATCACAAGCCTCTGCTCTTGATTTCCTCGCACTATTTGAACTATAAATCCACAGGTGATGGAGGTTAATACAAAAATGGAATGGACCCTCTCGACTGTGCAGCTTCATTACTCCTGCTCCGTATTAAAAATGTTTCTGTACAATTGTCAGGATTAAATTTCTCAGAAGAAAAACAGTTCTCCTGCAGAGAACGAGGGGATCTATTGTAGTCTTCCTCTCTGGGACAAGAGAAAAGAGAAAAAGGGACATCAGCAGCATGACGTCAGTTCCTTCAGTACCTTAATTTAAATCTGCAGTGGTGCTTTTTCTCACTGTTCAAACTGTTCATTCATATATAAAAACATCCGAGTTGATCAGGAATAGTGCACAGTGACATTTGCCCATACGTGTATACTTTTAAAACATTTGACATTATTTAAAATAAAATTCCACATAGAAACAAATTAAGATTTGACAGTTTTTTAAAATTATTACCTTCTTTGAAATCAGCTTTAGCAAACTTACTTTATTAGTGTTGTTGTTGTTTTCACTTAAAAAAAATAAAAGGCATAATTAAAAGAATAAAAATAAGTTCTGAATGAAAAGGGTGCAGAGTAAAGAAATAAAATCTTATCATATCTGCCCCTTATTTAAAAAAATAATAGCTTCAAATTTACAATAACAATTTAAACAACTTACAAATTTATTTTAAAAAAGCAGGCTTACCTTATTTTTATCCTATGCTTCTTTTAGCTACCATACTGTCTTTTTTAATTTTTCTGCTTTTTTCTAGTTTTAGCTACTGTTTTGCAAATTTTAGCTTTGGTATTTGTTTTCCAACTTCTGCTACAGTCATGTTAATATTATATATTGTTGTGTTGCTTTTAACTACTGTTTTGATAATTTGAGCATCTGTTCTGTTATTTTAGCTGTTGCTTGATTTAACTTTAACAATTTAGTTTTAGCTTCAACAAGCCTACACACTGCATCTACAACAAATATCATTTGTCCAGTAGTTTGATGTTAAAGTTTAGTTGATGCACAATAAAATAATATGTCGGATGCTTTGCACTGAAGTTCTTGATGAGGTTTTTAAAATTAAAACAACATCTAAACACAAGTTGGTACAAAGATGAACAGAATGAAAGCAGGTAGCTGTACAGGCTGGTAGAAAAGCTAAAACACATGAAACTATTGAAAGACAGGCACAGATTTCATGCATCATTACATAAGTGAGGTGACATCAGTGATGTAGCCTCTGTACCAGCCTACATGCTGCCCACACTTCCCTCTGACACCTGGACTCACAGGGAGATGATTCCGGGGGGGAAGCTCTTGGGGATGGTCTTGGTGTCCACGCAGAAGGCGCTGTCTTTGGTGCAGGAGCAGGTCGCAGGACAGCGGGGGACCTTTGGGGCTCTCCTGGCGTCCGATCCCCCCGGCAGGCAGACGCAGCACAGACTCAGCACCGACAAGCAGAGCAGCCTCATCCATTTTGGTCGGAACTCCTGCATCTTTGTGCAGGAGGAGGATAAAACATAAAAAGAGGAGGAGGATGAGGAAGAGAGAGGGAGGAGGAGGAGGAGGCTGTGATGAGCTTCTTGAAGTTTCTTACCTCGGTGGCTTGCTGAGACGTGATGGTTTGCCTGAGCCGAGCTGATCTGAGATCTGTTACAGCTGAGCTCAGGGAGGAGAGGAGAGGAGAGGAGAGGAGAGGAGAGGAGAGGAAGTGAAGGAAGGGAGGGAGAGTGTAGTTGCCTCTGTGTCTCCTCAGTGGATGGGAGTGCTTTACAGCCTCCCTGGATCTCTGCAGGATGAACTGGCTGCTTCTCCATAAGAGGTCGACAATCAGTTATTCACTGTGAACACATAAACACCACATAGGAGAGAGGAGTGGGGTCTCACCAGGGGCGGGTTGGGTGGCGAAGGTTAAGCACCAAGGAAGCAGAGTTTCTTGTTGCTTTTATACTTAATGTCACCTGTTCATAGTTATTTGTCTGTGTACATGAATTATACAAACGACCAGTGGTGGATAAAGTACTCAACTCTAGTACTTGAGTAAAAGTACTGATACTCATGGCCAAATCTTACTCAACTACAAGTAAAAGTTGCTCGGTCAAAAATCTACTTAAGTTAAAGTACTGAAGCACTTACTTTTTAAAAATATTTAAGTATTAAAAAGTACATGCATTTAAAAATACTCAAGTATTCAAAAGTACAAATTAAAATGTCTAATATCAGTAC